GCCATAGCTCTCCAAGACAGCAGGACTTTTTGCGCTCGTTCTGTTGTTAAACCCACATATTCATGTTCTGTAACAACACCATCTTCATCAACGTCGAAAACATTAAAAAAATCTTATAACTTGTTGATACGATAGGAATTAAACTTTCCTTTGGTGTCCTAAAATATGAAGAAACGATCTTTCAATGACTCAGCCTTCTCCGTCCTGCACATTAGGAAGTAATCTCTCTGAACGTTAAAACGCTCTTTTAAAAGGATAAAAACTTGTTTTCAAATGGCCTCTGGCTATTATTTATATATCATATCTTTGCAGGTGTATAATTTGTTTTAGATATGACATTTCCTTACATGTATCAATAAAAATTTGAAAAATGCTTTGGATTCGGTTAAAAATAAACATGTGAGATGTTGTAATTGTTTGGATCAGGTGTATTATTTTTCTGAAAAAGTAATTCATTTTGCCGAATAAACATTGGTTTAAGAAATTTTTCTTGTTTCGTTTAAATACACATTACGTCACCATCCAAGAATAATAGTTTTCTTATTCAAGACGTAAAGCACATTTTAAAAAAGCAGAAAATCCCACCACAACTCCCTACACTTTAAGAACCATGCTGCTTCTCTATCAATACTGTCTTAACTTGTTTCAATAAACGAACGATAAAACAAACAATTTTCTGAACCTACCTTCACAATACTTGAAGAATCGACAGCTTGAACAGCAACCAGTAGGGGCAGACTTATCAGCAAAATAGTTGCCATTATTTCAAAGTCTAAATTGCAAGATTTCTAAAAGAGGGAATCAACAGAGTTGAAAAGTAAACAACCAGTCTAAAATATAAACAGATTACGTTCCCTAAATTTAAATAAATACTCAGGATTTCTTTATGCAATTTACACCTAGATATTTCTACCACATTTTTAAACATATAGATAATAATAATAATGATGAGAAGAAGAATATACGTATTAAAACTCATATTACTGGAGTTGTATAATTAAAACCAGAGAAGTCCTAATTTGTATTTAACATTAATGTCTGGTCTTTATGGATCTTTTCAGTCCTGAATCCTTCTTATCTCACTGGGGAAAATAAAAATTAAGCTACTGTACATGTGGAACTCGGAGTATAAATCATTTACAATAACATGCACTAATATGACAAACCTTAACTTCAGCTTCATCCTGTATGTGCTGAGTGCTAAGATAGGAGACAAAGGGTGTCATTTTCATGATAGTATCGGATATGATATCACCCCCAAATGTTCAGTGGTGGATTAAAAGGGGGGCTCAGGGGGGTCCTGCCCCCCCCCCCCTTTCAATGTCTTGTCCACTCTTGAAATCAGAATTTTGACTAGCTGATTCATACTTCTCAACCGTAACAAATGGAACTGTTCGCCCTCCAATCCACGCCAAGCTGGGGGGGGGGGGGGGGGGGAGGGTCAGGACCCCC